TTTTTCCAAGATTTACGTGATTTCTCTTTTAAGTGGATCACTCCTTCTATATCAGGGGTTTTTAATAATTCATCATAGATCATCGTTGTATCATTATTTCCCTACACAAAGATACACATATTTCAATGAAAATTATTCAAGTAGACGCAACTTACAAGGAGTGATGTTGTTGCTCGAAAAAGTGAGTATTTTTCTGGTCGTTTGGTGAATATCAATCGATTAGACGATGTTGTTGGCCACATAAGAATTGCTTCGGTTAATTTTTGATGATCTTCGAAAGTACGTTCTATAAAAGATGAAACTTGTTGCATGAACTCGTTTTCTTCTGGATAATTCCTTACCCATGTGAAGATCAGGTAAGATTTCAACGAGGGCATAGTCATTGTCAGGCTCTCGATGATTTTTGTGAACGAGTACAAAGAGGACATCACGGATTGTCATGGAATGATCAATAAGGATGCTTTTTGTTGAACCATCGTCATTGTAAGTCCGAATAAGTAGCTTCGATGGATGTTGAGATGGAGAGGGAATTGGATCGTCTGAGTCAGCGACAAAAGACGTTGTTTGCTTAGTAGTACTTGTCATTGTTACCATTGAACGACAAGTTATCTATAAATAAGAGAAAAACTCGGTTCTGTTGATAAATTGTTCGTACGAGTTTGAAAACGACATTTTCTTTCTCCTACGTAGTCATGATATTAGAAATAAAGTGTCAGTACTTACGGGTTCATCGTGATTAGAAGATGTTATTTTATCGGTGGATCCACTATCACTAAATGCAGAATCACAATCATCAGTCATGTTCATAGCAGTGAATTTCGCCGCGAATGACACAGTAGCAGGCGCTGACGGTGGGAGACTGGTTGTAATTGGATTATTTGTGTTAGAGATATTATTATAGTGATTGAATGAATCGTTGACAATTTCATCACCAAGACCACTTGAACAGGCACTTGAGCCAGATGAACGTTGTTGTTGAACATCAAGATCGGTTGTTGTACAATCATTGATTGTTAATGTTAAGCTAGCTAGTGCAGCTTCAAGCTGATCTTCAAGTGTGCGGAGTTCATAAACACAACCATTAGTGTTCGTTGTCGAGGAGGATGTCGTTGTTGTTGTTGTTGTAGCTGATGAAAGAAGAGGCGGTGATGACGGTTGTGTTGGTAGTAAAGGGGACGAATGATTTAACGGTGAATTCATTTTCGAGGATCTTTTGATTATTAATGAAGAGGATGTGGATGGCAATAGTGAAAGTTTAGAACACTCTTCAAATTGAATTTTGAAATCTCGTAATTCTGATATAATCGCGTCAAGTTCAGCTGAATCGTCTTCGTCTAAAAAACAAACATGAAAAATGACAAATGACACAAGTCATGTAATAAATAATGTGTGAACACTATCTCCTTCGATGACCTCTTCATCCTGATTCACGCAATAATTTGCACAACTCATGTTCTCCGAAACAATATTTGATATACACTAATGCCCTTTTTCTTCCTCACATATAGATATATACATGCACAGTTGTTCATTTTCTTCTACGTGTGTATTTCCGATTGACGATTAAGGCAGACAAAGAAAGGGAGAGAATACGAAGGAGAAGCACATAGAAAGAACGATGTATGTTCACACATCTAGTTCCGACGGAAACAGTCGTACTTTCTCTCTTCTCTTCCCTAGATTTGATGTGCAGCTATTGAAGCAAATACATAAAAAAGAAGTACTATTATAGTTATGTAAGACATACACAGACCAATGTTGTGTGAGCGAACGTACATTGTCCGACAAGATAATGGAACGACAATGACATAAGCTTGAAATAATATGTGTCATCAACGAAGGCGATAGAGAAAGACTATCATAGATTTGAAAATAGTACAAAATTAATACGTAAGCCTTGATCCCTATGTCTTAGATATGCTACTTTCATTTGCAGTCTTCAAAGCTTACGTTTCTAATATGCTCGTAGTCCAACAAAATTAAAGAGTAGAGAAAAAGAAGGGTCATATTCTTCAATGTTCTCTTTCTAGGGTGACTGAGCTTGCAAGGACACATTTTTAACTATGCCAATATATTGAGGAGATGAAGAATAATGATGATGTAACCATTAGTATCTTATTTCATCTTATTACAAACTCGATCCTATCGTGCTACTGATTTTATAGATATTAGAACATTAATATTTGAGATTCGATACAGTCTTATGTTTATATGTATGAGTATAAAGATACTTTCTCACCCTCTCTCTCTCTCTCTCTCTCTCTCCCTCGATCCTTACCTTCTTGCTGTTATCTATCTAAAGAAGAAAAAGCTTTTACATTTGATTGACACTTGCTCATCATTGCATGAATGATTCTATCGTCTGGAGCTACATAATGTCGTGCCACACTCTGTCACTTCTCCACACATGCGTAGAGAAAATTTGCTTCGTTTACTATGATAGTTTTATCATGTTACATCATTTTTTTGTCTAGTTAAAGGAAACATATAACATACACTGTTCTTTCTGTCACATCTATCATTATCGTTTATCATACAAACGTATTTTCATTAATCTTCACTGTCGTTTAGGAAACATCTACCAAGTAATTGACACGAAACGCCTTCAACTCTTTCGATAATTTGCTGCTTGATTTATGTTAAGGAAAAAAAAAGGACGTAGATAGATAAGACATGACTTACCATAAAGATGTATTGAAGATGAAGAATATGAACCATCTATATGGTCGATCTGAGCTTGCTTCTAGAAATCAAATATAAATAAATAAGTGTGTATAAATAAATACATATATATGTTTATATCGAGATCTATTTCACTTAGGAGTTCACCTCGATATTCTCATTGTCCATGAAGGATTATGTTCGATGCAAAAGCAATCTCTATGTACCAAAAAATATCTCCTTGACGAAGGAATGGGTCAATATGCCATTGAGTATACGAATGAAGGAGAAAGATGAATAAACAATCCTTGCTATTGTTGAACATTCTTCATTTTCATGCACTCTCTTTTCCTTTCTCTGATTCAATCGAGATATTTGTCCATGTACACGGACATATTCAAGTAAATCACAGTGATCGACCACTTAACGACCATTATTCTGACGCGCGTGCTCACACATGGTGCAAGTAAATACATGGTATCCAAACGAGAAAGAAGTAACAAACAATTAGATCGTGAATACATACATGCCGTCTCACAGGAGGCAAATTACTCAGACGGTTGTAACAGACAGTTGGAAGAAAACAACTTTGATAGTACGATGAGGGTTAGTACACATCTGTTTTCTGGATGTTCGTTTTACTGATCAGTTTAAATAAACATGACGGATAAAAGATGCGGAAAGACTTCAAGAATATTCAAACGACTAGAATAATATAATAACAAACGCATCTAATCGAAAAATTGAGCTAATTATTCATATTTATCTTGATGATTTTCATTTTCTTGTCTTATTGAGTAAATTCTCCTCAATAATTTCACAAAAACTCACTGAATAATATTTATAAAAAAGGATCAGTTTGATTTTCATTTCAAACAGAACGTTAGATGGTTTTATCGATGAATTTTTCATTGCTAATCTTTTCTACGTACTTGTCGTGCATCTGCCTCGAGTTTCGATTTTAACAAATCGACTGACGAGAAGTGATTTGTCAAACAAATCTATTTTAAACATTCACTTAGTTGCACAAATAGACGACAAGGCTCTTCCACATCTGTGCTGGAAAAGCAAGGAAAGAAGTAAGAGCGAACTCGAAGTATATGTAAATACGTATTACATCAGTTTAGCCAACTGTTTACAAATAAAGGTCGAATATACAATGCGAAGCTGTTCTCTAGACTTTACGAACAGTACTTTAATTAAATCGGAACATTTCCACAAACTTGACGATAAAATTCCAATAATGTGAATCGTGAATACTACATTTTTCTGTCTTGGCAATCAATTCATCGTTCAGAAATTGCGTCATCGATTGTCTACAGGCCTCAACAGTGAGTTTCGAACCTAACTGACAAAGTTTTACTTCAAATCGTATGTACACGTGTGAAAACCTATTCAATCTCGAATACATAGATCTATTTAGTGTAATTTCAACTGTCACGTTCATTAAATTTCTTCAGTTAAGATTTGACATGATGATTTTGTCTTATTTATAAGATTTGAGATAAATTTTTTATTGTGTGAACCAGTATTACTGGACAATGGTAAAAGATATATTATCTTTAGTATACATTCATTTGATGTGTTCAATGATCTATGAAAATTAGATGAATAGGGGACAAAAGTCATATCCTCACCTTCATTTTTTTACAACGAAATCATGCGTATCAGTGCATTTTAATGTCTTTCGTTCGCCTTTGAATCATTTTTTTCTACACATAATTTCAAAAACTATCGTCCGAGAGTACAAAAAAAAAACTGCCGTCGTGTCCTTCATCGACATGATTCTTTCCTTCGGTATACTATGTAATCGACAGTGTAGATCACATCAAACAAATACTATCAACGCCCGCCGCTGTTCATTTCATTTATCAACAGGCATTCCTAACACAAACGTGTACATGTATTTGCATCGATATCGATAACCTTGATTGCAGAGAGTACATCTTGCCTCATGTACATGATTAACCAAACAAATACTCGACTCCTCCTTCTCAACCGATCTATGGAATAGAAAGACAGAATTCAATATACAAAACGGAGAGAATAATAGATAAAGGTCAGATTATGTTAGTCTCTTGTACAATCGTGCTCGTACAACGAATAATGCTCGAGCACGAACGCGATTACTCAACGTATGACTTCTTGAAATAGTCACACGTATAGATATTTCGTTACCTCACGACCTTGTTCTCATGTCAACAAGTGGTGTTTAGCTAAACGTCTCTATACAACCATGCTAATAAGACGACCAGCCTATAAAAAGGCACAACGATTTTGTAATTTCCCCTCGAGACATACATGTTTTTTTCTCTTTCAGTGTACATATGTCTCGTTTACTATTTTTCCTTCAATTTGTTATTCATTTGTGCTGATTTACGTTTTTCACGTCTATCTCCTTCGGTGATCGTATGGATCCTCTGAATTGCGATCTTTAGATAACCTTGATCAATGCGATCCAATTGCAACTGATTTATGCTAGACTAGTCAACAGAGAATACGATTAGAAATATACATACATGTTTTGAAGATGTTTGAATAAAGTTTTGTAATGCTCGGTTGGCCGCTCGGTCTTCACCATTCTCGTTCAGATCGTCATCGTTATCGTCGAATTCTTGTTCAGATTCGGATAATTCCGAATCCCACTCAATAATAGAAGGCGACTGTCGTAATTGAGAATAATGTTTGACTGCTGCTGATGATGATAATTGCACTGATTGTGTGGTTAGTTCGTCCGAAGTCGATGGTTCGTCTTCTTCTTCGATAGACGACATACTACAACGTCGAACAAGAAGACGATTCATGATTATAATAGGATGTCCTTAGAAAAAAGAAATGATGAATCTAGAATGAACGATGAGCAGGGAGATCGACACATATAATGACGGCAAAATCAACAGAGGAGAAAAGAAGAGGGAGAAAGTGAAAGAAAAAAAATGCGACATATACATAAAAAAAAGAGGGAATTGAACACATGTTGACGCATTTCTGCTGCGCAGAATATATGTACTATTTCTTTCTTACTGTTTTCAAGGAGTCTTCACACATGGGCACGATCCGTTGTGAATTGACTATCAAATACAAGATAGTAACTATTGTAGCAAGACATACAAGAATAAAAGGAGGAATTAATTCATTTAATTGTCTCGACTTTCACATAATCAAATCTATAAAAGAAAAAAACAGATGAAGTAAAAGTTATTATCATGTTATTCATCTGATGTCTGAATAAGACCTAAAGTTGTCGATCTTGTGTCAATATTTCTCTTTCCTTCGATGAAAATGCCGCTGTCGTTTCATTTAACATCACTCGATATGAAATTGATTTGCACTTTATCAACTGAAGATGAACAATTTCAGACAGAAGCAATAAAAAACTGCACATGCTCATCCGTTTTATCAATTTCTTATAATCAGGAAAATGATGCATTTCGTAGGATAATTATTGACAATGAAGAATGCAAAGATATTTATCTTGAGGATACTTACTATATGCATCCAGTAAAACAGAGAGAAAAAAAATCTGAAACGAATTATACATACGTTGATCTTCATCACTATTCATCCTACATGCTGTGTCTATGTGCGATGACAAGTTGATCGATATTCATAAATGGATGCGTGCGGCGATGTTTCTCTGTCTCTGTCTCTCTCTTCTCTTCCCACCGATAATCATACGTATCGGCACATACGCAACGGTCGATGAGCAATATCTCTCACACACACACACATCAGTGAGCGTTTGTTCGTTCGTCTTCGATTTCTCACTTTTCTTCTCTAATAAATACGCTTTCTCTTTATCTTCAACACACGCACACAGACAAAGAAAAAAAAACGATATGGAGGCAATTATTGAAGGATAATAGAGTGTTGGCACATCTTCTTGATTAGCTGCCTACTGATGCTTCTATTGCAACGCGATAGATTTATGCAACATTGTTATATGTAT